GGGGTATAAATAGCCTTCTAGTAAGAGACTCAAGAGAAACCCTAATCGAGCCCAAATTAATTAAATCCTAATTAAGCCCATACTAACTCTACTAAATACTCTACTAATAATAGGCCCAAACTAAAAACATAACATAAAATTTATAATAATAAATAAAACTATAATCCCGGCCCATAACTCTTCATGCTCTCTATCAGTTTTCTCTTTCAGCAGGAGGTCTAAGCACCGACATGGAACCAAGCTAATGAGAAGATGGCTAGGGGTGATACGAATTTAGAAAGCAATTTAAGATTTGTCAAGATCTGGTTAATGCCCAACTCTATCACACATCTAGCTTCCTTCTCCAATCTTCTTTTTCATTGGAGCGTCGTTGGCGACGAGTCAGACGACAGCAGCAGGGAGGGATGGAACTTCAAGGTAGCTTAGATGGGGATGGAGTCCATCCGTCATTCCTTCTCTCTATTGTCGTTGCTAGCTACTTCGTTATCTTCTTGATTTCCCCAGCTGTCCAGAGAGAACTGTTAGATGCCCAAATGCACAAGGGAGAAAAGGAAATAAAAAACGAGATGGGTCAGCCGGATCTTGAAGACAGATAGATGAGGATGGAACCCCCTTCATCGTTTCTTCTCATTGCCGACTGCTGGCCATCTTCCTAATTTTCTAGCGGGCAACCCACAGCCAAGGAAGAAGAAGAAATAAAGCCCTGGGAAATAACTTAATATAGGAACGGAAATAAAAATAACAGGAAAATGAAAATCATATGAAAACCAATGAAAAAATGACACATGTCCAGATGACTCGTTGGATAGGTATAAGCAGGTCACCGGTTTGTTGTGAGAAGGTTACCCTTATAATTTAGATTATACTAGAATTACTGCAACTTTGGATTAATATAAGAAGAATGTTAATAGTTTGGATTATTCATATGAATTTTTCCTTACATAAATGGGGTAATGCTATCTTTTGTGATGGTTTGTAGATGTGTTGTCGCATTTGCATCGGATCTTATCTTTGCTAATGTAAGTTATAATCCTCATCGCAATAGAGGGCTGAAGGCTTCTGCTGCCAGTCTGGATCATACGTAAGTGTTATACAATACACTAATATTTATTTTGCGTTTATCTAATGTGTATACTGTACTGATTTTGAATTATTAAAAGAACAGTTGATTTATCGGTTACACTGTAGGGCTTGTTGGTCACAAATCTGCTTAACAACAATGTTAAGGGAGTGTTTGCAATCACTTAAAAAAAGCACGTCTCAGCTTTTGGCTTAAAAAAACACTTATTTACCAAACACTACCAATTTTTACTTTTTCTCGGCTTGCGTGTGAAAAGTGCTTTTCCCCTTTCTATTACACAAAAAGCACTTATTTTATCAAACACTATCAACTTTAACTTTTCAAAATCACTTTTTTCTCAAACACTATCAACTTTTCCTACTAATCACTTTTTCCTTACATCTCCAAAAGTGTTTTTTTTTAAGCAGAAGCAGTTGCAAACACTCCCTAAGTCTAATCAGATAACATTTCTGTTATTTTTTCATAACTAATGTACTTCAAGGGTGGTATTTAAATCGTTACTTCGTATTTGTTTATTAAATGACACAAATGGGCGCACATGCAAAGTAACTTATCAATTAATGAAGTTCATTGACTACGATAATACAGTGCTAATATAGTCTCTGCTGTTTGTCAATGCAAACTTATGTTGGAAAGATAAGGGTAATATCTGTTTATGCAAATTTACGTAAAGTGCGGTTTATTAAAGGAAAAATAAATAGTAATTGGAATCACGTACAAGAACAAGATGTAAATCAAGAAAGAAAGTGTAGTGAGCTAGTAATTGAGAGTATATTTCATTATACAGTATACTGCAGCGTAATCATCCCCCTTTACAATGAGATTGTCTTCTATTTAAAAGAAACACGGTTGAAGCTTTCCTGAGCATTTCATTGCCGTTTCAAGGGATCCGGCAACCTCCTTTGAATTCAGGGTTTGGTTAACTGCTCAGTTCCATCCCTTCAAACCAGGACTCCGCTGACTTGCTTGGCTTTATCTTCTTTCATTTCCGTTGAACAACCTACTGATAAATATACTTATTTTAATTTAGTAAAGTACATTTAAGTTACAATAATGCATATTAATTTATATTTCTGCTCCAACAATATCTAAGCATGAATATTGATTCCTGCATTCCTATTTTTTCAGGATGTGGTTTCACAGACCTCTTCGTGCTGATGATTGGATATTGTTCGTGGTAAGATTAAGTTTGTAATAATATTTATAAGAGATATTACCCAAAATGGGACTAAAAAAGTTTGGAAATTCCAAAATAGGACTTCCATGTTTTTATTCCCAAAATAGGACTAATTACTGTCATGTTTTGGCAGTAATTAGTCCTATTTTGGGAATAAAAACATGACAGTCCTATTTTGGAATTTTCAAACTTTTTTAGTCCCATTTCGGGAACTTTCCCTATTTATAATTACTTCGTAAAATGGCAAATTATTCTCCAAACCTGTTCTTTAAACTGGACAGATTAGAAGTCCATCAGCATATAATGTCCGTGGTTTTGTTACTGGGCAAATGTTTGACAGGAAAGGAACGGTAAACTACCACACATTCCAAATTTTTATTCTGTCATTTCCAACTTTGTGCTTCCGCTTAGCTATTGATCCTTGCAAATAAACCTTAGATGATATGGTAATTTGTAGCTTGTGGCATCACTTACTCAAGAAGCGTTGCAGAGACCCATCCGGTCCAAACCACCTGTTGCTGTCCAGTCAAAGCTATAGAACTCATATCAGCTTCTCAAGTATTTGGTCTTCAAAAGGTAGTCAATACCAGTGGCCAAAAAATCTAATATTGCTAGAAGTCTTCGTTTCTTTTTATCTTAGCACAAAATCTCAAGATTAGTGGGCGTTCCTATCCTTATTTCCACATGATTCTCTTGTAACTTTGTACTGCAATAACGTTTGGACCGATTGGTTATATTGAATAATACTCTGTATGCGTCTATTGATTATATCCTTCATATTTTCCCATGAATTAAATTCTTTGCAAAGTTATATTCATACACACAAACGATGAATGAAATCAAATTTAAGTTCAAACACACGTAATTATAAACAACCTTTAATGAATCCGTTCAATTTAAAAGTGCAATGCATACGAAATACATTACGTACAAATGTACAATGATAACATTGTGACTTTTTTTTTTGCTTGGAGTAACTAACATTGTGACTTTTAATCACGCATTGATGCACACTTATACAGTTATACATAGGGATGGACTGGGCCGGGCCGAACCGGCCCAGAACCGGACCGGCCCGCTACTGTGCGGGCCCGGACCGGACCGGGACTGGTTGGCCGGTTCCGGGCTTTTAGCCCGTGTTGGCGGGTCGGGCGGGCCGGTTCCGGGCCCTATTTTTGTTGAACCAGCCCGGGCGGTTCGGGCCGGGGCCGGTTCACTTTTTTTTTTTTTTGGTTTTTTCAATTTTTTTTCTTTTACTAGGGTAGGGTTGGGTGTTTTAGGGAGGTTTGGGGCGTGGGGGTGAGGGGGGGGGGGTAGGGAGATAACAAGAAAGTAAAAAAAAAAAAAAACATTGAACCGGGCCCGGCCCGGTTAGGCCCGGACCCGGTATCAACCCGGGCCGGTTCCGGGCCCATGTAACCCGAAAAAAAGCCCGCCCGGGCCCGGCCCGGAACCGGAACCGGACCGGCCCGGGTCCATCCCTAGTTATACATATAGCATGCACTCTATAGCATAATGCATTGCACAAAATTTAAAATATTACATTTTCCTCATAATGTTTTTTGATGCGACATTGATCTATTCCATCATTTTTGAAGTAATGAAAACCTAAAATTATTCTCACTTTTCATAGAATATTTCTTTTCAGGGCAAGTGCTTCCAAACAGGATTCCTGGCATGCCTATTTCATTTCGGCCTTTTCATAATTCAGTGGTTCAAATGTTCAATATTGTTACACATCAGTAATATAATTTCAACCATTAAATATTACTCCCTCCGGTTAGTCATGGACCCGGTTCGGGCCGTCTGGCCCGGGACCGGCCTGGCCCGCTACTGTGCGGGCCCGGAATTGGCCCGGTTCTCGGGTCTGGGTCTGGGTCGGGCCTAGGCCCGGTGGGGGCGGGTCCGGGCTCGGGCCTTGTATTTGGCGAACCGGCCGGGTCGGGTCCAGGTCTGGGCCGAATTGATTTTTTTTTTTTTTTTTTTTTTTCATTTTTTGGGGTTCCACCCGGGTTGGGCTTGATGCTTAGGAGGGGTTTGGGGGGTGAGGGGGTTAGGAAAGCAAAAAAAAATGACCAAACCAGAGGCCCGGCCCGGACCCGGTGGCTACCCGGGCCGGTCCCGGGCCTTCCTTCCCAAAAAAAGCACGGCCAAGTCCGGTCCGGAACCGGCCCGGCCCGGGTCCATGACTACCTCCGGTTCTTAATTAAGTTACTAGTTTGACTTCACACATATTAAGAAATAAATTTGACTTTACTGTGGAGTGCACGGTTTGAACACTGTTTGGCACTGTTTTTGTGTAAATCATTTGCCAAATAAAGAAAGGTTTGAAGTAAGAACTTTAATATAGACCATCCCAAAAAGGAAAGTAAAAACTTAATTACGGGACGGAGGGAGTATTTTTTTCAGTTAAATACTACTCCCTCCGTCCCAAAATGGTTGGCCAAATTTCCTTTTATGGCCGTCCCAAAAAGGTTGGCCATTTCCATTTAAAGTAAGAAATATGTGGCTAAAGTTAATTCTCTCTCCTCTGCACAAATTTCAACCACACAGTTTTTACTTTATTAATTCACGTGCAAGTCAATATTGGCCAACCATTTTGGGACGGAGGGAGTACGTATTATTTATTGGATACTATTTATTGATTGTTCAGAATAGTGTTATATCCGGTAAATAATTTTTACCTGATCAAACAAAGATAGATACTTGAGCGTTTTCATGCATACATACATACATGATACATGAACATATAAACTGCCCAGTTAACTTCACAAAATTATTTGAATGCCTTCCCGATCGAATTTTGAACTGAAATTTGGTATGGATAAACTAGACTTCATGAAGAACATGCTCAAAAAATTTCATCAAAAAATTCCATCGGGAAGTGCCCGAAATGGCCTCGGCCGGACGGCGGTTCCCGTCAGGCCGGCTGGACAAGAAGACTACTCTATGCTTAAATAGTTAAATATACAGACATCATTCCGCCTACGCAGTGCCCAAAAAGGCATCCGCTTACGTTACACTATTGCAGCAGCCTCTTATGTTTAGACATATGTACACTGGACATGAAAGTACTATTTACTAGCCCATCCATGAGACCATGACGCTCAGAAAAAAAACTTTCTTCTAATCTTATGTACAGTCTAGGTCAGTTCTGTGACTGTGAGTTTGGGCATCCATTTGGACAGTGTTCTTTATCCCATGTCTTTTGTTTTGAATTGATGATTGCTTCAATTGCTTTCTCATTCGCCATTGATTCCCTGATGCAGTCATGAAGCACATTGCATAGCTCGTCCAGTGGAAGCATGGGAAACGGCTCTTCGATAAGAACACCAACCTGTGAAAATAGTTACGAATCACCTGAGACCCTTGTTACTAGAAAATTTGGTCAAACTTTATTTGCCAACAATTCTTAGCTAGGCGTGAACATGGTTCTGGTTCTAAGCCAGAACAAAACAACCAAATCGAGGTCGGAATGGATCAAGTGGGGAACAATGATATATAAGGCCCTGGTTATGCCTTGAACAAATTGAGGAAAAGTAGGGGTGACCTGATCCAAACTGGTTCATGTTTTTTTGTCTGAAAGACTAACTGTTTACTGGTTCTCGAAACCGTCCAAACCAGTTTTGGTTCCTCTAGAATACAATTCCAGACTGGTTCTATTTTATAGATAAAAAACTAACAAACTAATCTTGATCTGACCTGAGATCAGGGCCAAAACCAGACTGGGTATACGGTATACCGATTTCCAATTCACCCCTTTGTGTGACCCGGAACCGAACGGGTAAGGGGAATTGTGTGGCCAAAACCATGACCACCTTAAAGATGGGCTTACATCTCCTGCTTTCTTGTATGCATATAAAACGTGGATAACATGAGGGAAGTGGGAGCAAAACAGACCTCTTCGATACAGAAGAGAGAAGCTGCACTGATGAAAGTAGCAGGGACCACTATCCAGTGGCAGTCATCCCAAAGTATAATGGGGAGCGAAAGATGCCAAAGGACTAAAAACCTTGAGGTTAGTCTGGTGTACGACAGTGGGATGGGTATACCCATGAGCTGTTCACAAACACCAACCCCTTCGTGGAAACACGAAACCTTTGACTCCTACAAAATGACTGGAAAAGTAAATAAAATGCATAGATTTTTATACAAGATTTCCTCAGGTTTTTGTGTCCAAGAAAACTTACCAGCAGCTGCAGCTTTGTTTCCTCTAGATTTAGAGATAGAATGCACTGGGAGATAAAGTCAATGATGCAGTGTGGGCGATGTTTTGAACTAAGAACTACTGCTAGATCCTCAGCCTCAAGAAAGCTTTTTAGGTCACTTGCCATATCTGAGCCATACACCAAGTGGCACTGTATTGAGAAAAAATACAACCGTGTTACAAATGTGTTATTGTTAAATGAATCTTAAACTTCTGGCGGGTTGGAATTGTCAAACCCCAAAAATTTGAAACTAACCTAGTCCTAAATTCTAATTGAATAAACTCAAAGTAAACATCAACGAACTGACATAATATCTTCTAAATCCATTTTCATGTTCACTAATCAGTTGTCACTGCCTAACTAATAAAAACAAACTAATAGAAAAATAAATATGATTAACAATTGAATTGAATATGTTTTTTATCATGTCTAATTTATATGATGTATGCTTTTTCAGGTATATAAGTGTAGTCATCTCTTTTTATCATTTTTAGGTATATTCATCTCTTTTTATATTATCTTTTTCATAATAGCTTAGCTTTTTTATCTTTATTTTCTTTCTTTTTCTTTTGGTGGTGATATCATGTATCGATTCATGTTAGCCAACCCCAATATCTTTTGGGACTAAGGCTTGGATGTTGTTGTTGTTGTATGCATGCTTGTATGTAATAGTGTGGGTTTCGAACAAACATGACATCTTATTTGTAAACCCGAAAAGTAAACCATGTTTTAAATGTTTTTTGAATCTTATAGAACTTCCTAATGAAACCATAATATAGGAACGTAATGTAAAGAGAAAGAAACCATTTTGGTCCAGTGGCTTTTAGACTATACCCATTTTCTATCCACAACTTTCATTTCTTCCACTTCGAAGCATAAGTAACTGCATAACTACTCATTTTTGCCACTTTAGATCAACTCCGGTTATTAATCCAGCAAAAAGTAATGGAAGATGTACAAAACTTTGAGACAAAAAGTATAGTTTGGGACCAAAGTGGAAAACTGAAAGTTAGGAAGGAATAATCAAACAGTGGTGGAACTAAAAGTGGAATAAATGAACTCTAATGTAGGATTTGTAGGTGGATTCAACAACATTATAAGATTATAATGTATACTCGTATATAATAACTCTCCATACTTCACAGAGATGTTCAGAAATGAACCCGACCTTAAGAGCAACTGGAAAGGCCATGATATACTGCAACACTGCCTTCTTGAGCAATGCATCGCTTTTACTCTCAACAACACCAATCACTTGCCTTGCCAAATCACTCGCCCCTGCAATCACCTTACTCCAAGCCTTCCTCCCCTCTTCTAGCCTCGAGTATGAAGCCTCTGTACGGAAAACTAGAAGAAGCGCCAGAGCTGGAGCAGTCAACTGGTAAGGCAAGGAAGACGACCTTAACACCGGGAAAACCTCCGGCAACCATTTCAGCTCGACGGCCGAGTTGTAAGAGGCAACAATGGCTGCCACCGATGTAAGGGCGGTCACCGGAGGCACCAGTGACAAAATAACCCTAGAGGTCAAGATGGTCGACATATGCCTGAGATGCCTCAGAGAGCTCCTGTGTTGCAACCAATCGTCGTGCTTGTAGAGGGACCGCTTCTGCTGCATGCGGCTCTCTTTGATTCCGTCGGCCCAGTCGGGTATACTCCGGAGGATCTGCCGGAGATTCGGGCTCCGGGTTGATGGTGGTGAGCAGCAGAGGACTCTGAGGCCGGGTTTCCTGAAATGGGGTGGAAAGTGTAAATTGAGGGCATGATTTGGGGCAACTGTTGAATGTTGAATGGTGATGGGAGGAGAAGGCTTTGACATGGATGGGACTTGATTAAGAGTTGGCAAGTGAAGAGAGTGATCCAGGTGAAAATGGTACTTTGAGACTATGGACGGGTGAGCGACCCGGTCATGTCACTGGGTCACGGGTCAACCCGGACCCGGAGGGTCAACCCGGTCAAAGCCGGAAAACCGGTCAACGATTATACGTCCATATAATAATAATAAACATATAATTATATACACTCTCATTGTATATTTGTATTTGTATTGTACATTTATATTATAATTTGGCATGATTTTCATTCTTAAATAAATATATAAATATATTACATAGTTTTTCTTTTTAGGGAATTGAAATTGCAATTTTATTGGTTTAAACAATGCATTAAAATTAAAAAAGAAATCATTTTTTTTTTTGGAAAAGACCGAAAACCGGGTTTTTCCGGGTTTTTCGGGCTTCTTGGGTCGGGTCCGGATCGATTTTTTTCGGGTCAGCCGGGTTTTTCCGGTTTTTGACCATTTTCGGGTTTTGAAGAAACCGAACCGGATTTTTGTCCGGGTCACCGGGTTCTGGGTCAACCCGGCCGGGTGGGGTCGGTTTTTTAAACATAGCTTTGAGATGGTTCATAGTTTCACTGAAGGAAGCAGGAGAATGGGGAACTCTCAATTTTTGATAGAAGGAGAATGAGGGAAATATTAGATACTGAGTACACTATACAACCCTCGAACTTGGTAGACTATCCATTGGGCAGATTTATAGTACCCAAAACGTACCATACATTTGTCCACTTGGATCAATTAGAATGTTGCAGTTGAATTATTTAAATATAAATTAAAAATGATATACTCATTTGGACCAATCATGTGAGTGGTAGGTACGGTACTCCGTTTTCTAAATGGGTACCGGAGTTGTCACCTTTCCATTGTCTACTTACTCCCTCAGTACCAAAATTATTGTCCCGTTTAGTTTTTCACACAAATTAAGAAAATAACACTGTAGTGACACTGTTTGGCACTGTAACGACACTGTTTGGCACTGTAACGACACTGTTTGACACTGTTTTGCACTGTTTGATACGGTTTGGTATAGATTTGTTTACCAAATAAGGAAGGTAAAGAAACGAGACAATTATTTCGGGACGGGCCAAAAAGGAAAGCAGGACAATAATTTTGGGACGGCGGGAGTATTAGATACGGAATGTTTGCAACCACTTAAAAAAATACTTCTCAGCTTTTGGCTTAAAAAAACACTTATTTAACAAACGCTATCAATTTTTACTTTTTCTCGGCTTGTGTGTGAAAAATGCTTTTCCCTTTTCTATTACACAAAAAACACTTATTTTACCAAACACTACCAATTTTTACTTTTCAAAATCACTTTTTTCTCAAACACTATCAACTTTTACAACTAATCATTTTTTCCTTACATCTCCAAAAGTGCTTTTTTTTTAAGCAGAAACAGTTGCAAACACTCCCTAAGTCAGTTAACCAACTAAGTCATATTAACATGTAATCTAAGAGTGTACTCAATTGACACTAAAGAGCTGACATTATGCACTTACGAATGTTAAATGCATCGTAGTGTGTTATTTATTTCATTTCATACAAGTTGATGAACTCAATTAGCTCTTACCTTAAAGGGGATAGTTTCTGTCCCATGATAATCTCACAATATAATCCTAATTTTTTTAATAAAGAATTTGTTATATAAAGAATTTATAGTTTGTCTTAAATTTTTCTCTTTCTTCTGTACAATTTTCTACCACACAATTTTCATTTTCTTAATCTAAATGAAAAACGCATTGGAAGAATATATTGAGATGAATGAAGTACTCTATCCGCCCCGCCCCTGATTATCTTTGAAAATACGTTTGATATGAGGATTAAGATAATAAGTATTGTGCGGTGGAGAATTGTGCAGATAAGATATAAATGTCTACGAGTGTGTGAGAATTATTGTGAACCACAAGTTCTCTGTCACAAAGGGAAATTATTTTAGAACAAACATAAAAAAAATTTAGAAGATAATCCAGTGATGGAAGAAATAACCTTTAATGGCTTAAAGTATACGAAAAAAGAAAAATGAAAACATATACTACCTCCATTCCACTAAGATCTTCCTGCTTTACTTTTTAAGCGGTCCCAAAATGAAGATCCTATTTCCATAAACGGAAAGTTATCCTATATCAAAACACTGCCAAATAGTGCAAAACAGTGTCAAAACAGTAAATTTTACCCACTGGTAAGTTTATTTCCTAAATATGTGTGTAGGTCAAACTAAGAAGGTCTAGGTAGTATACGAAAAGTAAAAGTATTGAGTATACTCCATATTATTTAGCATGGAAATCTTAATCGGGAATCGAATTTGTAACATAAAAACGACTCTCCATATGGTCTAGAGCCGTCGTCTAGGTTGGCCTAGGGCTTGTTCGGTGGCTGTTTCGGCCGCGGCACCGGGGGGTTCGAAGTTTGGATTTTGCTTTCAGATTGTTTGGATTTTTCTTTCGGCTTGTTTGGATTTTGCTTTCGGATTGTTTGGACTTTTTGTGAGATCGGAATTCAGCGATGTTGGCTCGGGTTGCAGCAACAAGGGATTCAGCGAGTCCATTGGTTCGCCTCGGTTCTGCAACAGCAAGGGATCTGCTGCTTTATCAACGAGTCCGCTTGGAGGTCCTTTGTTCGGCGGCAATCATTGTTCTTGGAAGGAGGAAGATGAGTGCAGCCGTGCAGGTACATGGAATTGCAGAGGACTTGGTAGTCTGGCTACAATTCAATGCCTGACGGATCAACACAAAAGTTTGACTATGGAGGCGGCTGAGCGGCGGGCACGTCCCCCTCCTGAACCGCTGCCATGGAGTGCAAGCAAGTCTAGGGTGATCGTGTGGTTTGACAAGCTCGGACAGAGGATCTACTTTATCTGTTTTATTTTCTCCTTTAGTGATTATTTATTTTGTTGTGTGCTTTCTTTTGGTTTTGATATTCCTGTTTGTAAGACATTGACTTTGGATGTGGGGATGAGAGGAATACGATAACCGTTTTTGGATTTAGGTTTCCCATTTATGGATCAACGAATTATATTGCTTATCAGGAGGTGATTAATTCCGAGTCTGGTTCGCGGGATAACGGTTGTCAGATTTCTTATTATCGATTGACTCATACTCTAAATTATCTGTTATCAATATAAGCCGAATTCTTCCAAAAAACGAACATAAAAACGTGAGAAGTATTGAAAGGCACACTTTGTGTACACCTTTGGCACCCCATATAAAAGGCATTCCTTTTTTTTTACCTTACTTCCTTCCCAATTGAAAAATTTACCCCATCTTTCTTTTGTCTTCCACCCATCCAAATCTCCCTCCCCACTCCCGCACGCACCCCTCGGCTTCCAGGCTTCGGAAATTAGAATCTTCCGCCCCACTCCCGTTCAGCCAGTACTAACGCAGAGGACAGAAGATGAAGGGGACAGAACCGACCTTCGCCGGACTGAACTGACCTTTGACGGACAGAGCCGAACCCCTGTGTGGCGCTGATTTTGAAAAACCGACGAAGGTTTTCTCCAAGAACGAACGACTTTCTCTGGTCCAAGGCTGAACCCCTGTGTGGCGCAGAGAACGAACGACCGCAACCCACCCCTCGATGCTACGTGGAAATCAGTTTGAAGCTATGGTGCGAAGTAGTTTGACAGATCTTGCTGAAAGGTAATTTTTTCATCCTTGTGTAGTACTCACCTTAGCATAATTGATTTAATTTAATTAAACAAGACCTAATTTTGTTTCTGTGATTTAAGAGTTGTCTGACATGTTGTTTGTGTGTTGTGAGATGTCTGTCACACGTTTTGAATTGTCTGTAAGGAGTTAATAAATGTCTGTGATGTTTTAAATAGATGTCTGTCTTTCATATTTTCTTGTCTGTCATTTTTTCAGTCTTTCATATTTTCTTGTCTGTCATTTGTTTTGAGTTGTTTGTCATTTGTTTTGAGTTGTCTGTCGTTTGTTTTGAGTTGTCTGTAATTTGTTTTGAGTTGTGTGTCATTTGTTTTGAGTTGTCTGTAAGGACTTTATAATTGTTCGTGATGTTATAAATACATGGTTTGAGTCGTTTCCCCCATTTTGTTCCTAAAGTATACACGTGCCCCTCTGGCTTTCTTGTTATAATACTTTGAAACATTATTTTGAGTAAAAACCGTTGTAATAAAGGTGGTTAGAAATAGGGTTAGCTTGAATCGATCCTTTTGGAAGGAAAAAGATTCAATTGGCTTGCTTTGTGTCCTCATTTGGAGCACTTTTTTCAGACATAGACACGAAATGTTTGGGACAAACAATTATTGCCTATTAAAGAGATTTTTTTGCCCGACTCAGATATGAAATGTTTGGTACATACAAATATTGCCTGTTAGATTTTATAATGCAATCCGTTATCCTGTTATGAAAATCAAATTCTTATGGAATTTCACATTTGATTATTGCAGTGCACTTCCCCTGGTGACATAGCAAAGAATACATGTTGGAAGTTTGTTGAATGAAGATATTTATGAATGCAAAGAGGCACATTTGACTACTGCAGCATTGTTTTGGTTGTCATTGTGGATTTTGCATTTTTCGCGAAGATGCTGGATGCAGTTGGCAGAAATAAAAGAGGATCTTTTTATTGCGGAGATGATGAGCCTCCATAACAAAAGTTGACAATGAGAGATTTATAGCAAATTTTAACTAAATATTTCATTTTTGTAATTAGTTATATTGTATAGCTTTGGATTTACAACAATAGTGTATTTAGAGCTACTTATGTTCTCGAAATGTATCTTTTGTAATGGATTAAGTGGAATTTCCTGTGAAGACGAAATAAATGAATGTACACATGTGATTATGCTAGTGAAGGATTGAAGTCATCTTTATGTCATTATTTGTGTATTGGCCACCTATTTGTCTGTATGACACTGCGAGACAAACAATTACTTATGCCAGACAAACAATGCTTTCTATCACCCAAACAATTCATGCTACCAAACAGACAATTAATTCTACCAGACAGACAGCACATACTGTCACTAAGACAATTCATGCTGCCAAATAGACAATTGATTC